TTCATCTGTGGACTCATGCGCAAATGAGAGCAGTGTCATCAACTTACACGACGCGAGGAAAGTTGTGTAGGGTTAATGGGATTCATATAAAGAGAAAGTAAAATTGGTCCCAATAGCCATCCGTTTGGTACTGCGGAAGTAACCGGCGAAAATTCTGAATTTGTTTACGAAAAGGGAACCATTTGTTCATAAGGTAACTATAAAAAATTAGAGATTTACCCCTTGGAAGCCATGATGTTCCATTTTCGAAAGTAGTACACCGTGACGAATGGTGTTAAGAGCTTTTCTGGCATTAATGAAGATGCCACTTACTGTCATGTTGTTTGTGTAGGAATTAACCATACCTGAAAGAAATTACATTGCAGTGGAAGTTGATCTACTGCTCCAAATACCATATTGCACAGAACCTCGAGTAAGAAGACTTAGTAACTGTTTTGTGATTGAAAAGTTTTCTGAACACTATATATATGGCACTTGATATTGACACGGGATAGTAGTTTTCCAGAACGCTACAGTCACCATTTATGGGAATTGGAACTACTCTTGGTATTTTTGTAAATCAGCTTAGGTGGACATGTGAAATTCATGACTAGTGATCGTAGCCAAAGGAACACAAAGGATTTCTTTGAATAAGTTTTTAAGGGGAAATGGTAATACTGCATCACGCCCTGCACTATGTTCGCATGGTATAGCTTTAACGACAATAACGATTTCTCCAGGAGTTATGTCAATGTACGTAAAGGAATCGACAGTTTTGTCTGGAACAGTAGTGACTGGCACATCACAGTAGGATTTCACAATTTCTCTACCAATGCCAGTAGGTTATGGAAATATCCATTTAAAGTTAAAACTGTCATCTCTACTCATGTTCTCATGATTTATGCATCAGCCGTAATGTATTGATTAAGGGTGGCTTTATTATTCCATGTTAATTTGAATTTTCAGTTTTAAATGTCAAGCATTTTCTTGCATACAACAAACACTTTGATCATATCTATCTGTGTATCTGTCTGTCTGTCGTCAATCAATCAGGCGTGAGAGAGCTGTGCATATTGCACATTTTTGGTACATTTCCGTTTTCTTGTTCTAAGCTGCTCCAAACCAGCCTCGAAAGCTAGAATTTTAGTGCGAACCTCAGCTGCAGTGGGAAAAAAGGCCGAGCTCGTTGACTAATAAGACTCGCCCAATCGCGTTTTTTTTTTTTTTTTTTTTTTTTTTTTACTTTGCACCTTTCTGGTGATGAAGGCTCCCATGGTGCCGCCATAATCTTCTCTAAACTGTTGTAAATCTTTGTGCCTCTTAAAAATGGGCTGCAGTGCATCGAGCGTGCTGCTTCTACTAGCTAGGCTGTGTGCTCTGGTGTGGCCGTGCCACTGTCGCCTTGCAAGAACCACAGAGTCTAGTATTGAGCGTAGCGGGGTTGACTCTCAAGTTGTTTGCTGTGCATAAGCCACTTCAGTTATCACCTTCCATTTCACCGGCTAACACAAGGACAACGTGAACGGGAGGGCACACTCATCTGTGAGGCCAGCAAGGTCCCTTTGGGCATTCCACACTACTACGCAGCGCCTTTTGTCACTAGGAGTGCACAATACCCTCAATGGAGTAATCGAGGCCCAGTGGATTAGTCAGTGCCAGCACCCTTTTTTTTTTTCTCACTTCAATGGGTTCACACGTACTCCACCGCCTGGGTCACCCAGTCCCCTCTGAACCTCCAGAAACGCGGGGAACTTTCGTGCCACTCGAAATAGCTCGAGTGCTTCACGTACATCCCCTGCCACGCAACATGCACCCTGAGCATGTTGCGTGTTGCGGTGGGCACAGGTGAGATATCTGAATCGCACTCTCAGTGACGTTGTGGAGAATAGGGCCTACTACACGTTCGTGGCTCACACAACAAACGGACACACAGTGGTGGTGGTTAGCGGCACTCATGGGATCGTGAGTGCTGCCTCAATCTCTTCCCCATCTTCAGCCACCGATTTAGGCGAGATTCTGGCGGTTACCTTAACGATCCAATACATTGTGTCTTCCCCACAGAAACATACTACATACTCACCGATTCGCAAGTGTCATGTCGGGCTTTCCTAACAGGCCATGGCTTTCCTAAAAGCTTCCATTCTATTCTCTTACGCACATCCAAAGTTGCTTCACACAACAGCCACATCGTGCACCTGCTCTGCACTACCGGTCACGCCTCACTGTCGAGTAATAATGCGCTCATATGGCCGCTCAAAAACTCGCCCTCCGAGCAGCCCTGCGCAGTGAGGCGGCCAACACAGAGCCAGGTTACCCACTTCTCACATACCACGAAGTCACACAACATAACGTACACCAACGACAGCAGTACAAACTCCCACCAGACTCCTTCACACGCGAGAAGGCTGTCCCACTTCTCCAACTGCTGACCCGACCTTTCTCGAACCTCCACTCCACGTATAAAATATACCCGACTCGTTATACTGATGCCTGTTGAGGCTGTGGTGCTATCCCCACAATCTTTCACATTACTGTAGAGTGCACCGCTGTCTACTTCCTAATCTATCGTTCCACTCATACCCCAGAGCAGTGGGAAGGCGCCCTTCACGACAGCGCCCCCGAGGTCTGCTGGGCCCTCATTCTCAGGGCCTGGGCTGTTGCAGAGGTTGTCATAGGTGTCCTGGAATAAGGACCCTTCCCGTTTTCTTTGAATTTGCATCATAAATTTTTTTATCATCATCATCATCCCCCAAGACCATGCATCGTGTAGAGGGGAGGAGCTGATCCAGCGAATGGACACATTGAGCAGCCTGACGAGGATCGGTCCAACACGCGACAAGAATTCGCATAGAGAGTTGTTCTTGTTTTGAAATATCGTTTTCTGCGCTAAATGAAAATGACTTGTATGCAGCTGACGCATGCGTTAGTATACTTTCATTAAAGGGTAAACAACGCACCATGAAATATTTGTATGGTACGAAACTTCCCGATTGTGCAAGGATTCCATAGGAATAATGATTTGACTTTTCTCTTCTGGCATTGCCACTCTGTCTTAATTTCGGCTTGGGAGTTATACAGGAAAACTTAAGAGCTCATCACTTAGTAAAGGTTGTGCACTGGAAATATCTACAACATATATCCATTATCTTCCACCAGATTGTGGATACCCCTTCACATAATAAAGATATTTTAATTGTAAACCATCTGTGATTAGTAGGCATATATAATATGCATAATAGCACTATATCGAAATGATGCCTTAGAAGCGCCTAAATGTGAGTTGTATGAAACCAAAGTAGATAAATGATTGGTAGCGTACTTACTGTAAGTAAGTACGTGGGAACAGTTTGTGAAAAAGACCCACCTGTCAACTTCGGTACTGCTCGCATGCAGGCAACCAAAGCGTGCACTGCCGATTTAGTAAACCTGAAGCAGATAGAGGAAGCTATTTTCACAAAGGCGCTCGCTGATTTTTGAGGGGAAGAGGTCCCCTCTTGGAGTAAGGGCAAACAAAGCTATAGGTTAAGACTAATGGAAGAGACACACACTGTGCTTGGACTGTGCATCTAAGTGTTGTATGCGTTCCTTCTTTTCGTCTTGACTTTTTGCACAGTTTGGTCTTTTTTCAGTATGATCCAACGAACCAGAGAAATCTTATGCTGAAATGCTGTCCATGTGTCTTCGTCTCCTGATATAGTTAATTATTACGATGACAATCTCTCCACGTGTTCCACAAGAAAGAAATTGACCAGGTGATATTAAACACTCCGGAAAGGCTTAGAACGTTCTAAGTGTGGCTCGTGTTCTTTGCAGCTGAATCTAAAAAACGTCAAGTCTTAAGCATGACCAGATGGCAAAGCGGAAAAGAAAGGGGGAGGGGCAAAGGGCCGCCCCTTATTTTTTTTTTACCGGGCCATCCGTACTGTTAATTCGGCCCTGCTTTGAGGCAATACAAAGTCACTCGGCAAGCTTTCTTGCACCTTCATCTGTTATAAGCCTGCACAAATTTATCTTGCCTTTGTCTTTTTCATAAACCTACTATTACAACTCATTTATGTTCTCTCTTCAACCGCCATCATACATTTCATCTTGCATTAACCATTACCAAAAGGTAAGCATTGAACACTGCAGCACCATAACATTTCATATTAATTTTCCCCCAAACGAGAAGAGGCTTGGATAGTTTACCCACATTAATTATAAGCATAACCAGTGCTGGTAACTTTAAAACACCACTTCGAAGTTTCATTTAATAATTGTTGTAGTGTGCGACTGTCCTGTATAGCGATCGTTCCGATGCCATATGTTTTGGTTGTGCTTGCCTTGTTTTGGATTACACTTGTAAAGCAAGTTTGGGCACGTTCTTTGTGATGTATTGTATACACTACTCATTCAACATCCCAGGAAGAGTTCACTATTTTTCTTTTCAATGCCTATTGTGCTGACGATTTCTCGAAAATTTATTTAAAATGTTTTGCTCATTGGTATTTTGTATCAATAATCAAGTATGCAGTATATATTGCCTCAGTATCTACGTTCACCCCCTCACCTCGGTAATATACAACTGTACCTTATGGGTATAACAAATCAGTAGACAGTTCTGCCTATCCATGTCAACTCCTCTCAGTTAATGGTAGTGAAATTTGGTGTTTTGCTGCTGCTGTTTTTTTTTTTTTGTTAGTCAAATTTCAATAGTCTTCCAATTGTGCAGGCTCCAGGTGATACAATTTCTAATCAGCTAAATACCCATTTATGACAGCAGCTCTCATCTCATCACTCTCATCTGAGATGCTTAGTTTGAATTAGGAGCTAGTACAGATTGAACATGTGATTTTCGCAGAAACAAGATACTGTTCTTATACAGGTGTTCTTCTGCCATTCCTTTCAATATCTTGCTAATAATGCACAGGACCGTAAATTTTACAGGCCTATACAGCCTTCAATGTTGCTGCTTAAAGGTCTTAATTTTTTAATGTTTTTGATATCTTTGTGACAACTAATTCATTGTTTTGTACCATTAGGAAGAAGTCCATGAACTCCCTTCTGGAGTAAAATTTGTTATAGACCCCACAGGTGATAAAGATGCTTATGAAAGGTTCTTGGCCATGGACTGCACCAGTGATTCAGATGAGTCTTCACCATGGTATCCTTTTTTTGTTACACATCAATGTTCAAGAGGTTTGTCAAGATGTTCGTCATGAAGAAGACGTATTTCCTTAGTAATATTTTCAGTCACAGTTCCGATTTCATCCATCTTGATTCCGAGCCTAAAGAACCAGCCCCTGTTGATTTACAACCCAGGTAAATACAACAGAATATTTCAGTCAGTGTTGCAGCCGGCAAGTGTCTACTAAGCTTTTGGTTCTATTTTGCCATCATGTTTTTTCAACAACATTGCTTTTGTGAAACAGAATAGTAATGGGGTGTTTGCCCAGTGGAACGTTGTGGAGTTCAGTGCTAGTTCTACAGTGTACTTTTTGTTAAAGCACAAAAAAAATAAGGATTTTGAAAACTTGGGAGGATAGTTGCTGCATTAAAGTAGAATGAACAGATTGCCAACAATGACTTGTTTTACACTGTGAATACTAATCACTGCAGGCTGCTTACCATTTGGAGAAAAAGGCCATTTAAAATGCTACAGTTGTCAGTTCCTACCGAGGAATCAACATAACTGAAATCTGAACACGCACAGCATATTTAGTAGGTATTTTATAACTGTGTTAGACTGCACTGCAGGTTATGAGGGATGCTTAAGTGTGGGGGCTCTGAATTCATTTTGAACATCTGGTGTATTTTCACGTCCACCTAAGCTACTGCACTAGTGCTTTTTACGTTCCACCCTAATTGAAATGTGCCAGCAATAAGTGAAATTCCTACCGTGATAGAGGTGATGTGGCAGATCTTGAGGCTACAAATATTTAGATGCAGCTCAAGTGCCGTCTGTTTTTAGTCAGCAAACTGGCTGGTATACAGGCTACTCATATCCGCCGCCGTCTTTGTATATCCACTCAATAGAAAGTGTTTCTTGGCTAGTTGGTTCATACTTCCAGGTTTGACATATGCACTCTTTACACAGAAAAGTGAAGCATTTGTAAGAAGAGGGCCATCTCACAACTCATTCCCCTCTGCTGCTTCTATGTATCAGAATAAACACCCAAGCCTAATAAAATATCTACATACCTGTCAAGTTTTCCAGATTGTCTGGGAGACTCCTGGATTTCGACCGTTTCTTCTGTTTGTATAATTGTCATGAAAATCTCCCAGAAATCAAAATTTCTATGCCTGATCTGACCGCATTGACAAAAATGCAGGTCAATCTACTCCTGGCTTTTTGCAAACCCACGGCATTTTATTATACACAAAGTTAGAAGGCGTTCATATAAACACACAGTAGAATCTCGGTGATGTGAAACCGCCGGTACGAATTAGCGAGATTCCCCAGCCGAATTGCACTGTATCTATTGAGCCAAAATTCTAATTTTCTGAACACTTTTTTTTAATTGCGGCTGATGCTGAGACCCCCAAACGAAAGCCAACAGCAGTGCGATCGAATTTTCGCAAATACGCATGTGGCCGGCGCACGCACTGTCTTCTACAGTCGACGAAACTGCGGTTGTTGTTGACACGACGATGTATGGCGACGACGTAATTGACAGAACTCCGAAAGGTGTTTGGCGTCCAATGCTCGACCGGTCAAAGCAACGGTGTTCTCCGCAAACTCTCTGGACAAAACCCTTGCAGATGCAATCATGCATGGCATAAAATGACTTAGTTTTGAAGGCACGTGCGCAGGCACGCGGGTTCAAAGCAGAACTGCTGTTTGCCGCAACCGTCGCGCACAAAACCGCGGTCTTGGCGACGCGATAGCGATCTACGACCTGCGAAGGGCCTGCGGCTAACGCAACAGTAGATTGAAGGCAGGAAAGGCATGAAAAAAGGCGCGAAGTGTTTTGGTATTCCTTTCAATTAGAAGAATCTATTAGCGAGCAAAGATTAGACGCACGCTTTCGTGGCACCGAGCTGTGCCGTCCCATTCGTTCGTGTGTGTCCCAGGAAGACACGTGAGTTGTTTTGACGAAAATAGATTTTGCTAGTTCTTTTGATTACGCAAAATTTCGGGAGTATTTGCACTTCCACTTTGAGACTCTCATCTTAGTGGGAAACCCTACCCTTGTTCGGCCACTCCAAGCCATTATGACACCTCAACGTCTTTGTTCGCTTGGTATTGGGACTCTCCCCCCACCCCCTATCATCTTGTTTTTAGTGATGTATGTTTTGTTTTCTTCTTTTTTGCAAAAAATGGCAGAAAATAATTCAGTGCAGCACCCCCCCCCCCCCCCCCCCCCCCTCTTTCACTTGTTGCAGAAATCTCCCAGGATTCAAAATTCTTGAGCTTGGCAGGCATGTACCTAGCACTTGCAGCCAGCAACCTGCCTACTCCACTCTTTACAACATTCTAGTAACCCACCTCACTGTACACCTAACACTACAAATCTCCATACAGTAGATAGCTCGTCATTCAGGCTTCAGAGAAAATGCTTCATGGTTATTTTCTGTGTTAACCCTCTGGACGCTTTTCCAAATTGGCTGAATCTTTTTGGTAATCCAGAACTCCTTACTTCTTCTAGTTTGATCGCAGAGAATGTAGGGTAAACTTTCTGAAAATCACACACTGTACCCAGCAGCACTCAATGTCCCATTGCCAGGTGGTCTTCATTGAGAAGGTACATACTCACTCACTGCCCTCCCCCTTCATCCACCACCAACAAGATTGGCACTCTTATTTGCATATACTGTCATGGCTTGCATACACTGTCATACCCACAACTTGTGGCACTGTCCTCGAAATTCCAGAGCACTGAAGGGTGAGGCTTGCTGCTGAAATACCTATAAACTTCTGTCCTGCTACCTTGGAGAGTGACTGACAGATCCCTCCTTCAGTGCCATTTTATGTGAAATGAATGTCCTCGATATACAAACACTTTTGTAACGCTTGATTCTCTTTAAATAATATACTGTAATATTTATTTGATGTGTATCAGCTTTAATTCACCGAAGGTGTATGTATTGTGACATCACAGCCCAGAAGGTGGTCATATAAACACATATTTTTCTGTTGTAACAATAAAGCTATCACTTTCTTCAACTTATCTCATCATAATTCTTCCGCAGCAGCATGTTAACAGTCATAACTGCTGTTATGCTTGTTCTAAACGGCTTGTACTAAAACATTTTCTGCTTTTTTTTTTTTTTCCCGAGCAGCAAAAGACTGCAATGGCTTTTTCAACGATATCGCCACAATCACATTCCCATCAAGCTTCGTGCATAGTATTTTAAATGTAACTTCAAATTCATCATTGTGACAACACTATCGATTGTACTTCTATGCACCCCTTATTTAATGCCCTGTCAGGGGTCTTTAAGGAAATAAAAATGAAATGAAAGGAAATGACTTCTTTTGAAGGAGACTTTCAGCTATGCTATTGGTAAATGTGGCATGTATTTGTTATTCTGCACTATCGTTCAGATTAAATGGTGTAAATGCATTTTTCAGGGTTGTATGCTTCAACTGCGGTGGCAAACACTTCGTGAATGCTTGTACCGAAAAGATTGACAAGGCACGTATAGCCCAAAGGCGCAAAGAAATGTCCAAAGAGAGGGAGGTGGCACCGAAAATGTTGTAAGTGGCTCCTGCTGTCTTTTTTTTTTTCCAGATGGCGTGGTCTAACCGTTTTTTTGTTTTGTAAGTCTTAAAAAAGTTTTGCGTTGTAGCCTAGTACTGAGCAGTATTTTTAACAGTGGCACCATTAACAGTATCTTCTCACTTCAAAAGTGGCTGTATCCATATTTCCTAAGTAATGAGTATGCTAGCTTGGTTATTTTATTTGACATGTATTGCATTTCTGTAGTACAGGGGAGAAAATTTTGTGAGAAGTTAAAAAGTAATTTTTACCTTTAAAAGCATCCAGCAAATTTGCAAATGAGTGTAAGTGAAATCTACCTCACACACTGGGGAACATGTCCTGCATCAGCAGCATGTGTGCAGTAGAGATGTGCATAGTCTTCAGCTGGTAGGTTAGGCTTGGGCTGCATTGTTTTATGTTGGGCGGGCCATGGAGATCAAGCCCAAAATATAGTTGTGCCGGAACTCTTTTTCATCATGTAGTGCTTTCTCCGCATCCGGCCCCACTCCTTCTCAGTCTTCCTTTCCTTTAGCCGCTTTGAACACATGCGGCGAGGGTGAAGTCACAAAATGAGCTTTATGATTATCTATACCCGGAGTGCCTACCCCCTCCTACATCCGAAGTACTGAACTTCTGGAAGAACAAACAGGCTAAATATACCAAGCCTGCTATGCTTCCGAAAACTTCTGGAAGAACAAACAGGCTAAATATTGTTATGTCTACGAGGGGTTTATTCGAAGCAGACGTAACGGTAGACTCTACTGTATACCGCAGTGAACGTGCAGCAGCGAGCTCTTGCCACGAACCGAATGTCCTCTTCTTCTGCTACCACCATGTTCCCCGCTACACAGGTGCACATACCTAAATTACACATGTGGTAACATTTCCCTCCGCGCAGACGAAGCCCACTGGGCGAGTCAAATAGTCTCTCGAGGAATAAAGCACTTCAAACGTGCAACATGGACAAGTTCAGTTTTTGCAGACCGTCGGCCGTTTGAATGGAGACGCGCTATGCGGTAAACTAAATCACTGATACGGTCTACAACAAGATAAGGTCCCGCATAGTGCGCTAGCAGTTTCTCGCTCAAACCGCGTTTTCTAGTTGGTGTCCACAGCAACACTAGGTCGCCGCGATTGTACGTCACGTGTCGGTGTCGGCGGTCAAAGTGTGCCTTCGAGCGGTCTTGTTAAGCAAGAGGGCGCAAATAAGCAAGGCGTCTAGCTTCTTCTGCCCGACAGATGATCTCGGATATGCAGGGATCATGGTGGTCCAAACACAGGAAGATGGTATTCAGGGTATGACGAGGTGGTCGAGCATATAGAAGAAAGAAAGGACTGTAGCCGGTAGTTTCATGCTGAGCGGTGTTGAATGCATATGTGATAAAGGGTAGAATACTGTCCCAGTCCTTGTGATCGGATGCAACATACATAGACAGCATGTTCGAGAGAGTTTTGTTCGTTTGTTCAGTTAGACCGTTCGTTTTGGGTTGGTATGGCGTAGAGTGCCAAAACCTTGAAGCACAGACACGAAGCATCTCTTCCATCACGTCTGCTGTGAATTGTCGGCCACGGTCGCTGATTACGATTTTGGGAGGTCCATGTCGAAGAATTACAAAACGTAGCATGAAGGAAGACACATCGGCTGCAGTTGCCGATGGTATGGCAGCTGTCTTGCAGTACCGTGTTAAATGGTCGGTGCAAACGACTATCCAGCGATTTCCATCAGAAGACCGGGGAAAGGGTCCAAGGCGGTCAATCCCGACTTGCTCGAATGGAGTTCTAGGGGGCGGCACTGGATGTAATCTCCCTAAAGGAGCACTTGTTGGGCGCTTATGACGTTGACACTCGTTACAGCTAGACACGTATTGTTCCGTCGTCTGGCGCATTTTGGGCCAGTAGAATCTTTCTTGAAGACGGCAAAGAGTTTTTGCTGTGCCTAAACGACCGGATGTTGGGTCATCATGCATAGCCTGCAAGACATAAACGCGAAGACTCTTCGGAACCATCAGAAGATATCGTGAGCTGGTGTTGGTGTAGTTCTTTTTGTAAACTAGCCCGTCTCGGATGCAGAAGCGCGTAGGCGATGATTTTGGTTTGGTAGCAAGAAGCTGTTGTATGGTGCTGTCCCTTTGTTGCTCGTCTTTTAAGGTCTTGTTATCGGGAAATGGTTGGTCGAGTGATGCAATGTAGGTATCGAAAGTGTCCGCGTCACATTCCATGGTTGGAAGTGGTAGTCTCGAAAGACAATCTGTGTCAGCGTGACGTTGGCCGCTTTTATAGGAAACCGTGAAGTCATATTCTTGTAGACGAAGTGCCCAGCGCGCCAGCCGACCAGATGGGTCACGCAGATTAACCAACCAGCAGAGAGAATGATGGTCTGTCACGACGGTAAAGGGGCGTCCGTACAAGTAGGACTGGAAGCGCTGCACTGCGAAGACTACTGCAAGGCATTCTTGCTCTGTGACAGTGTAGTTACGCTCGGACTTGCTGAGCGAGCGACTTGCATACGCTACGATGTGTTCTTGATTATCTAAGCATTGAACCAGGACACCACCTACACCAATACCGCTGGCGTCTGTGTGAATCTCAGTGGGAGCGAGAGGATTGAAGTGTCGAAGAATCGGATGGGACGTCAAAAAAAAACTTCAACTCCGAAAAAGCAGACTCGCATTTCGGGGTCCAGTCAAACTGCGCACCTTTCTGAAGCAGACACGTGAGCGGGTATGCGATATTGGCAAAATCAGGAATGAATCCGCGAAAGTATGAACAAAGCCCCAAAAGGCTGCGCAGTTCTTTCACCGAGTTTGGCTCGGCCACTGCGCCATCTTGGCGGGATCCGGTCGTATGCCTTTTTTGTTTACTAAGTGTCCAAGGACGAGTGTTTGGCACTCTCCAAAACGACATTTCTTTGAGTTGAGCATCAAGCGTGCTTTGCTTAGGCAGTCCAGTACGAGGCCAAGGTGTGTGTTGTGCTCACATAAGGTGCGCCCAAAAATTACAACATCGTCCAAGTAACACATACACATTTCCCACTTCAATCCACGCAGAATGTTGTCCATAAATCGCTCAAAGGTTGCGGGCGCGTTGCAGAGTCCGAACGACATCACATTGAATTCAAATAGTCCATCTGTTGTAACAAATGCCGTTTTCTCCTTGTCTTCCTCGTGCATTGGAATCTGCCAGTAGCCTGACCTCAGATCCACAGACGAAAAGTAAGAGGCCGATGATAGACAGTCGATAGCATCATCAATCCGCGGGAGTGGGTATACGTCTTTTTCAGTGATGGCGTTGAGACGGCGGTAGTCAACACAAAATCGCCATGTCCCATCCTTCTTCTTCACTAGAATTACTGGAGCGGCCCACGGACTACACGATTCTTGAATTACATTTTGCTTGAGCATCTCGCAAACCTGTTCATTGATCACTGCGCGTTCCGAAGGCGATACACGATTTGGTTTCTGTCGGAGAGGTCTGTGAGATGTCGTGTCGATTCAGTGCTTTATACGAGAAGCAGGGAATGATGGTGAATCATGCTGAGCGAAATCAAAAATACCGGCATGTTTGGGCAGAATACTCGCCAGTTCATTACGTTCCTTGGTGCTCAGTGACTTATCAATCATAGCCATAATGGTGGTGTCCCTGGCGTGCAGATTATCGCAACGGGTCTTATCCGGGAAATCATTGCTTTCTGCGAGGGTGGCAAGCGAGAATACTTGGTGTTCACGAATCTCTGCAAGTTTCAGACCCTTCGGCAGCACTGTAGGTTCATTAGAGCAGTTAATCACCCATAAACTAGTATGCCCTTGCGCAACCGGTGAACAGTAGGGTATTAAAACTGTCTTCTTTATGCAACTGAGATGCACAGGCTCCACAGTTGCGTCAAATGTTTTCTCGCTTGCAGGTGAACAGACAACAGGGACACATTTTGCAGACAACGGCGGCACAGTTGTGTCCACAGACACGCAAAGAGCACTTTCTTGAGAGGGCGAGTTTTCCATAAACGAAACTGGGATATCATAATCTACTGTAATTTGTCCTGTGCGGCAATCGGCAGTAGCACCACATAGCTTCAAGAAATCGAGTCCCAGAATGACGTCATGCGTAGTATGAGGGAGAACAGCAAACTCTGCGACAGAGTTCTGGCACGCCAAACTAACAGTCACAGTGCAGACACCAACAGGTTGTAACACCTCTCCGCTCACTCCACGAAACGTATCAGGACGGTCCCAACGAAACATAACCTTTCGTCCAAGAAGGCGGGTGAAAACTAAACTCATCACTGACACGGTTGCACCTCTGTCCACCAACGCCATCGTTGGTACACCATCGATAAGCACTCAAACCTTATTTCTAAGCATGGAAGCTAACGGAGGTATATCTGTTGAAATCGAAGACTGTCCGGCGACCTCACCTCCAACGGCTGCGCCGGCTAGTGTTCCGTAGGAGGCGAGGGGCAGGTGGTGGTGTCACACTGCGGTCAGAGGCCGGAGATTGGTTTCGTAGCGGTCCTGGGATCTCGTAAGACGCGCTTCAAGGGAATGTCGGTGCTCGGGTAACGCCAGAACGGTTAAATCTCGGTGATCGGTCGTATCTTGGCGGCTGCCCGTAGTGGCAATACCTGGCAATGTGTCCTTCGAAGTCACAGTTGTAGCAGACTGGTAGAGGATGCTCGCCGAACCAATGCTGAGACCGCTCAGCTGTGAAGGGTCGGTGACGAGCTTGCTGAGCGGGGGCTGCCCACCTCTGTGTGGCGGGGCCGTGCCGAAGGCGTTGGCCATATCGCTGGTCGGCCGCGAATGAGTCACGACGTGGCCGCGGATTTCCAGTTTCGCTGATGTCTGCCACACATACCGATGGTGGCAAAGGAGTTGATGGTGCCGCCGTGTAGTAGGGTGGATTGGTAGGTGGATGAGGAATAGTTTCGTCAACCCTACCACCTTGTCGCTGCAGCTCTTCATGCACAATTGCCCGAATAGTAGCGGCAAGGTCAGTGGGC